CATATGGAAGTCAGGGTAATTTTTTTGAATTTGTATTGAAAATGTAATTGATATCATGTAATTAATAATACTTTTCTACAAACCTCAATCACAATAATTAATAAGTCATAATATTTTCCGGCTATAGAATATGGCATAAATATGAGTATCTGGAAGTTGTTAACACTGTGAATTGAACAGTTTCTTTAATATAACTTGCAAACAAAAGTCCAAAATAAATTCCGATGCACATAATATCTATTTAAATAATCGATTCTATTTTAACACTTTGGTTTTTTACAAACAAATTTTCTTTTCCTTCTCGATTGATTGCCTTCAACAATAGGTGTTGCCCTTTTTTGAAAACCATTATTTGAACTTGTGTCACTTTCATCATCGTCATCATCAATATTATCCTGACTGCTATCATTATTATCACTAAGTTCTCTTGTCGAAGTTTTTCTATTACTTGCATTTCTTTCATTATCCTTACATCTTCGAAAACAATTAAATTTAATTGCAGATTCTACTGTTCTTAATATTATTGTTTTATAGAAATCCCAAAATATAGCAAAACTAATAATTAATAATAATAATTTGTGCATTATAACAATATCAAATATATTATTTTCATTATTGATCCCATAAAATTCCATAATGTAAAACAGTCCTAAATAAAGTATATTTTCGATATTATTCCAAACAATATTTATAAAGAATTCAAAAATAACAATAGAAATGATAGTTTCCAAAAATAATTGAACTAAAAGTGATATTCTTCCTGAATATTTTTGAAAAATATTTAAATCCCAAAGTATTAACGCGATTGCCAGTTGTATAAAAATTGTTAAAACTGATAATTTCAAAGGAAATCTAATTTTCTTTTCAGGTTCTTTTGGTTTTATATTATAGTAAATTCCATAAATTGAATTAGAAATTTGTGCTGCATCGTAACAATTATATTCATTTGGACTAACCGGTTCGAAAAAGAAGCATGTTTGATAAATTGAGTTTAATAGAAATGCAATGGTTATTGAAATAAAAAGCGTCATTAAGACGAATAAAAATTCACAATAATTTAATTTCTCTTCACATTTATAAAATTATATTTTGATTTAATAGGGTTGTCAAAAAAATCAGAATGATTTATAAAATTTAAAAAAACAAAATTTTCTTTACTAAAATAACTTATAAATAAAAAAAAAGCCTTTACAAATAAAACCTATAGATTGAATGCAAAGGGAAAATTTCATCAGAGAAAGTACCAAATGTAAGGAAAATATGAAAAATATTACCAAGTGGTAGCCATTTTAATATTTCAAAATAATCATTGGTTGTAAAAAGTTTTAGAACTTGAAAATTTTAAATTGCAAATTATACTTTGAACTTTAAATTTATCGCCATTTTGTAACTGTTGATCATAATAATTTATAAGCCACAAAATTATATTTAACTCTCTATAGTTAATTTCTTCACACACGTAAGCATATAAGTATGCAAATTGAAAAGAAAATTAATGAGTATCACTGTTATGTAAGTAAATTAATTAATAACGCTAGTCTGAGAAAAATTGGTGCTCCCGCCTTTTGGGAAATTTAAAAACATTATAGATGAGAAAACTAAAAGGGGGAACTTATTGTGGAATGGCGGGTGAACTTATGCAACGACAAGAACCATGTGGCTGATGAGGAATGGTACAAAAACGAAAATATGCTGGCATTGAACATTTTCTCATCGGATGATTGCAGAGGATGTCGGGACTTGGTTGGATTTAGCGATCAACATCTACTTGTCTAGTATTGGGTGGTAGCGTTAAGGATACCACCTCTCCTCTCTAATCAAACTATACTAAAATAATTGGAAAAATAAGGAAAAAAGCATAGTCACCTTAAGAAAAAAAAGCACACCTTAAGAAAATTAAATGGCGGTTAGGTGACAATTTGGAAAAATTCAAAAGTCTAACCAAAATACCATAACCAAAACACCGATAACCAAAAATTTATAAAAGATATGAATTCAAAAATTTCATTTTCCGATAATGTTGAAGACAAATCAATTCTTTCTTAGCTCTTGCCATTATTATCTTTTGCAAGCTCTATATAGAGATTATTCTATTATTTCTATAGGTCCATATAATAAATATTCATTCGCAATTCATTCTTGTATATCTACTTATTTTTTTTTTTTTTGAATAGATTTTATCCTTAAAATTTAAGCTCAATATTTGGAAATTAACTATGTATACAAAAACATAGACATTTTAGTTGATGTTTATCTTCTAAAATAATTCAGAAACCTCAGAAACCTAAAATCAAAAGTACATATTTACATAAGAAAAAATATATAATACTGCGTACAAAAATAAATTGTAAAAACAACCGGCTTTTCATTTATCGTTTTTTTTTCTTAAAGATTATTATTAATTTATATAAGTTTACGTAAATACATATATGTATGTGTATTATGTGTGCAATGTGATAAACCCCCTTTATTAAAGTTTCACGACTTCTCTACTACAAAACATATATTTAAAAACTTTTCCTTGCTATATTAAACACTTATATCTTTGTAAATGGTACAAAGCATTTAAAATGTTCTTGCTGTATTAGACACCTATATGTCATGCAACAGCATTGACTAACGTTTAAGTTATATTATTATATTTACGTTATATCATATATATAAAAATTTCCTATGCTAAATACAAATATTAATATTTAATTTAAATTTACTGAAATCCTTACAATTTGCTTCATTCCATTTATAATACTAAAACAAAAACCAAATTTGCTTGCCCTAACGAGTTTGATTTGAATTTATTTATAAACATGGTTTTGACTTTTTCACCGCTTCTTCGACTGAAAAAGAACCTCTCAATTGAAAAATTACTTCTTCCATTAAAAAAAAAATTCTAACTATCGAATTAATCCTTCAAGTGTATTGTTATCGCAAATTGGTTTTTCATTAGTTTTCAGAATGATTTGACTTCTGTACGGAAGCTTAGCAAATTTTAGCAATTTATAAATATTACTTTTTTAAATATAAATCAGCCCCCATTTCTGCGACACTATATAATATGATATAAACTCTATAGACTTTCTGCAAAAGTATAAATGTAATATTGTGTAATAAGTGACAACGTAATATAATTGTCCTCTTATATACCAAAAAAATTTTCGAAAATAATCACTCTAAGAGTGATATAAGCACTGCTAACTTTGTGCAAATTTACGCATTATGATAATAAGAACATCATCCTATTTCAATAGATCGTTTTCTTTACTAAAATAATATGGAAACACAAGTTCAGGACTTAAATATTATTAGAAATAAAATGTGCTATTTTACGTTACATACAGTGAGTTTTATCATTTTATGAAATGAATACATTTTCATTTTAAGATTCTCTTCCTATTCGTGTATTTTCTCTGTACGCAATTAGTTATATCCTCACAATTTTATTTGTATACTCTCATGACGTTATTTTTGCTGAACTGATTATAATAACGAGATTGTAAAAAAAGTATGAAGATCAAACACTCAGCTTAAAAAAAATAGCTTAAAATTGATGGCCTTGTTTAAAAAAACACAATTACTCTTGCATAGAAAAAAACTTTAGAAAAAGAAGCGATCTCGTATATAAGTTATTCTCAATTAGTATACCAAAACATATCATTTTTGCATAAATTTAGGATAAAAGTAGAAATTTAAATTACGATGCTTGGATACGACAAATTGGGGTTCACTTAAATACAAAATTATATTTTTTGATGGAAAGACATTATTTACTGCTAACCTTTGGAGTTTTGGTAAAGCTTGCAGTTTCCAAAATTAAAATTTTATTTTTGTAAAGAAATAATTTTACAGGGGAGTAGAATGAAGAAAAATTACTTCAAAACAAATCATTTATTTAGACTTTTTAAACTTACCGACTAAGGGAAAAACGATCCCAACAATCTCTTAACGATTCAATGTGCTGAAAATTTGATTTTTTGTTGTTCATATTTTGAAGGACCAAGTTTAGGATAGAGAATGGGCAGAATAATAGTTGAATATAAATAAAAGATGCAATAAATCGTAAAAATGGTATATAAATATTTGCGAATTTCAAGAGCCATAAGATTTAGAAGAGGACGGGATTAAAAAATTTCCTCCAGGGAAATAAATTTTTTCACAAAACTGCATTTACCTTTAAAATTTCAACTTTCTAATTTGCGAGTGTAGAAATATTATAAACAGAACGTGTAAAGTGATGATTTAACGAGAATTACATATATAATTTCACACGCCGGGTTATTGGCAAAAATTTCTACAAGTTTTGTTCTGGAAATTTTTAGAATATGGATCTGTGAGCAAGAAATCTGCAATGTAACTGACAAAATGTAGTCAAATGTTGCAGCATTTTTTTACAAAAAGAAAAAAACCAATTTAACTCAGTTACACCTTTATAAAGAAACTTTGTCTTACATCTCGTTTTGAGTTTCAGAATAAAATTGTTGCCACTTACTTATTGACTACTAGCTTTCTTCATATTTTAGACGTAGTGTCCATTTCTTCCTTCATTCCTAAGTTGAATTTAGCAATTGAGATACTTATGAATTAATAGTCATTTCTTCCTCGAGAGTATGTTGCATTTAATAATAGATATTCCAATCGTTCCATTAACACCCATTCGTTAACATTTGTTTGATTTTCTCAAAAAAATATTTTATAAACAAATTTACAGCCTTTTACTCAAAAAAAAAATTAACTGGCAAAAGCCAAAAATCAAATATTTAAAATCTAATTATTCCAAAAAAAAAATGGAGATAATAATTTAAATATTGAGCTTAATTTAATTTATCCAAAAATGCAATGACAGCCTTTCTTTATTTTGACGCACAATTCTTTTGGAAAACGGCAACACTCAAATTTCAATTTGATACGAAAAAATTGTCAAAATAAATTGTTATTGTCCAGAAAGCGGGAATATAAAATTGAAAATTTCAATATTTCATAATTAAGATTTTCTAGAGGAATATTAATAAAATGCCACAAGAGGATCCATTCCAGGCCTGTGTAAGAGACCATTTTTGTATATAATCAATAAATGCTTCAGTAAAATACATATATTTCTTTTAAAGCAATAAATTCAAATAATTTTAGGGTGGCTATATGAATGTAAAAATTTCTAAGCTTGAAAATCAAGTAGCGAATTCCAAAAATATTTATAAACAGGTAAGTAAATGGAAAAGAACCTTTAATTATTTACAAAAATAATCTTTAATTTCAGTCTAACCTATTTGAAGGAATTTCAATTTTCGTTAACGGTTGGACAAACCCTACTGCTGACGATTTAAAACGAATTATGATGACCTACGGTGGAACATATCATCACTATGAACGTAAGCACACAACTTTTATTATTGCTGAAAATTTGCCAGATGTTAAAATCCGGAACATGAATACAAGCAATGTAGTTAAACCGAAATGGATCGTAGATTGTGTAAAAGCTAATAAGATTTTAGACTATTCAAAATACCTCTTATATACAAATCAAAAACGTTCGCAGCCCAGTTTATTTTTTAAAAATTCCAGCGACGAGTCAACCTTTTTAATCACTGAAAAACATAAGCAAAAAAATAAAAAATTCAAAAGAAATTTGTCAATGGGTCACGATGACGAAGAAGATGAGGAAGATGATGAATCTCTAGAAGTTAATTCTAATATTAAAATGGATTCGGTATTCCATTCAAGTACCAGTTTAAAAAGGCCTTTTCAAGAAGACTATAACAAAGTCGACAATGGTCAAAATGAACCAAAAAAATTCTATCAGGATCCAGATATAGCACTTGAAATTCTAAATAATCAAATAGCATTTAATCCTCAAATAATAGCAAAGAAAAATAATTTGTCTGAAAAATCACCTGTTAAGGGTGAAACTATATCGACAAAAACTAGAACCGCAAATGATCCAAAGTTTTTATCAGAGTTTTATAATAACTCTCGTTTGCATCATATAGCTACTTTGGGAGCAGGATTTAAACAATATGTAACTGAATTAAGAGAAAATCATTCTGGTGAGTTTCCACTTAGAAAAGAATTACTCAAAACTCTTTGTAAGAAACCTGATTTTGTAAAGAATTCATACGTAATGCATATTGATATGGATTGTTTTTTTGTTTCTGTTGGGTTAAGAACTCATCCTCATTTAAAAGGGCATCCTGTCGCAGTAACACATTCAAAAGGAGGGACTGAAGTTGTTGATCGTCCTGGTGTTGATCGAGAAAAAGAGCTGAACCTTTATATGAATCGTTTGCAGAATCGTTTACTTGAAAATGTTATGGACGACAAGAAAGAAAAAATTAAAACTGGTTTTGAAGGTAAAGAATCTTTATCAGAAATAGCGTCATGCAGTTATGAAGCAAGACAAAAGGGTGTTAAAAACGGAATGTTCGTTGGCCAAGCTTTAAAACTATGCCCGGGACTAAAAACAATCCCATACGATTTTGAGGGTTACAAAGAAGTTGCATTTAAACTTTATGACACTATAGCTCAGTACACTTTGGATATTGAAGCTGTAAGTTGCGATGAGATGTTTGTTGATCTTACCAATTTATTAAACGATATTCAAGTCGACGTTATGGATTTTGTAACATATGTTAGAGAGGAAGTCAAATCAAAAACGCAGTGCCCGTGTTCCGCTGGTGTTGGAGGAAATAGATTGCAAGCTCGGATGGCAACAAAGAAGGCTAAACCTGATGGTCAATTTTATTTAGACCCAAATACCGTATTGGAATATATGACAGACATCCCTATCAAAAGCTTGCCTGGAGTTGGTTACAGCACGGAATTAGCCTTAAAACAGTTAAACTGGACAACATGTGGAGATCTGCAAAGTGTACCTTTATCAAAATTACAAATGGAGTTTGGGAAAAAATTTGGTGAAACATTATATCAATCATGTCGTGGTATGGATAGTAGACCATTAGTCTTTGGTCAAATAAGAAAATCTGTTTCCGCTGAGGTTAATTATGGAATTAGATTTACAGAAAACTTGGAGTTGGAAAAATTTTTGAGACAGTTGTGTGAAGAAGTCCATTCTCGTTTAACGAAAATTAACAGAAAAGGTAAATGTATTACTTTAAAGGTAATGGTAAGAGCAAAAGAGGCACCAACTGAAACTGCTAAATTTATGGGCCATGGATTTTGTGATTCGATGAATAAATCAGTATCATTATCAGATTATACATCAGATCTAGAGACTATTACAAGAACAGTACTAACCACAATGAAGGCTTTAAATTTACCTCCAAAAGAACTGAGAGGATTAGGTATTCAAATTTCAAAGCTTGATGATCCGAACGAGGCAAAAAAAGCTAATATAATTAAGAATATGTTTAACAAAGTGTTAGAAAAGCAAAAGGGTAAGTAAATTTAATTTATTTTCCTGTACAAACTTTTTAATTCTTTTTTTTTTTATTTAAAGTGTCGTATAATGAATCATTGCAAAAGACACCCGAAAAACAAAAGATAATTCACAATGAAATTAAGGATACTAATATAAGAAATCAAAGTCCACACAAAAATTTACATAATGTAGCAACAAAACTCAATATCACCCCAGAAAAAGCTTTCGCTGGTCGGGGCAAATTACTCAAAAGTAAAACAAATCCGAATGCCAAACCGAATACTACAATACTTAGCATGTTCCAAAATGCTGCAAAAAATCCTAAACCTCCAAAAATTGCTCAAAAACTCTATTCAGCAACTGAAATTGATCGAAGTGTTTTAGCAGAGTTACCTGAAGATATCCAAAGAGAAATTTTAAGGGAAAATCGAATAACAATTGAAAATTTCCCTTCACCTTCAAAAAATTATGAACACTCAATTTCTTCAAATCAAAATGTGCAAAATAAAAATGAAGTAGCTAATAGTGAACCGGAAAATTTCTCGGTCGAAAACAAAACTCAAATTGAAGTTGATATTGAATTTTTAAACGCTCTTCCACAAAATTTAAGAGATGAACTTGAGAAGGAAATTGCTGAAGCTAAAGATAAATACATAATTGTAAATAAAAAAGAATCCAATGAAAAAATTGCAAAAAGTTCTGAAATGTCTTCTGGTCATTTTATGGAAATTGAACCAAACCAAAATGACTTAGACGAAGCGGGTCCATCAAAAAATACATTTGATTTAACACCTGAAACTCTTCAAGATAATCCAATAAAATATATAAAAAATTGGGTAAATAGTACAAACAAACCAATAAAAAGTGAAATCGAAAATTTTTGTAATAATGTAAAAGCTTGCGTTAAATTAGGCTCTAATGCAATCACAGCAGAAGAAATAATTTCTGAATTATATAAGTAAGTTATAAAACATATTTGGGAAATTTGTGAAATTATTGCTTTATATTTTTCCTTTTTTTTAGAATAATAAACCAGTCAGACAATTGTCAATGGCACATAGCATTTGATTTAATTCTAAAAAATCTACAAGAGGAAATCTTAGCATTTAAGTCAAATTTAAATTATGAAATAGAATGTGATGATTGTAGTTAATTCTTTTTAAACTAAAAAAATTGTATTTAAATATTTAAATTTTATAACTTATTTCTTTATTTATTTTACATTCAATGTTCCAACATCGCGTTTTCAAATTATAAATTTTTCTTACAGTAAAATCTGCAAAAGCAAACCAATCATATGAACAAGTTTATATAGTTAAAATTTTTTATTTAAACACTAGAGTTAAAAATTATAATTTTAAAGTATTTTAAACATTTTAAAAACAAAGTTTTAAAGGGAAAGGCAGATTTTTAACATGTGTATGCAATATATAAAAAAGGATATAATTACATATATTCTGAAATAAAAACAAATTTTTGTTTTAATGCCGCATTAGAAAAAAATGCCTTTTAAGTTCATTCATATGAAAAATTGTAATTAATTTCGTACATAAACTCAGTTTTAATTTGTACAATTGAGATTTCCTAAAAACAATTCCAACATTGCACAATTTTTTTTTCAAAGTTTCATTACTTTTATGTACATAAACATATACATAAAAATAATGTGTTGAATTTACATAAAAAACTTATCTTTTTTTACATAAACATATACATAAAAATAATGTGTTGAATTTACATAAAAAACTTATCTTTTTTCCTCTCTATTATGACCATCGGTATCGGCCGATATATTATCGGCAGTTCTAATCGGTTTTAGGTTTCTTCTGTATTATGAACCGATACCGATAAAAATATTTCAACCGATTAAAAGAAGTTTTTTCATACAAATTTTTGTTTTTGTAAATTGGAGAAAAAGTTTTTTTTTTCTAATGACATTTGTTTTCTTTCAAAAGTTATTTTCAAAAAATGTTTAAAACTATTTTGAATTTGGTTTTGATGTGCTAAAAAGTTGTTGTAAGCAAATTATTTTCTGTTAAATTTGTAAAATAAAAATATACATATATCGGGAAAATGTCGCGTGCATTATATTTTGAAAGTAAAAGAAACGGTAGTAAGTGAAGAAACGCAAGCTATTCAAAGACGACATATAAGAGATTCAACTAATCCATTGGATTTAGACAACAAAATGTATGTTTATGTACCTATTTTATTTTATTATTTATATAATATGTACACATTTTTTAGGTTTATCCAGAATTTCAGATTATCATTCCTTGCCAGGTTTTAGTCCTCTTCCATTTTTTCCACTAACCGCGCAATTTGTTTTTTGTTGCTTACGATTTTACTCCTAAATAAAATATATGAATAACATTTCGAAAGAAAATAATTTAGAAAAAATGCTTTCATTTTAAAAAAGCAATTAATTACACCAGTTTCCTTGATAAAATGAAGATTTTACAAAAAAAAAAATCTGTCGTCTAAAAACTTGTATCCGCTTTTAAATCGGTGAAAACCCGACAATTTATCGTTTTCATAATACCAGCTAATACGTTTCCCATACAGGGAAAAAAAGCTTTCCCGACTCCGATAAAATTTACCGATAAACAATGTTGGTAATACAAACGCAAAATTTTGCCGATAAATTATCGTTTAATAGATTAAATAGAGGGGTTTGTTTTTCTCTAATTTATACTGAAAACAGTAACGTTTATTACAGTAACTATTTTGGAAGTTTTCTTATGTTATCGTAAACCTATTAACTGAATATTAAACATAGAGTGTTGTCCTTTTGAAAATTGTTGAAGATATTTATTTCAGTACTTTAGGTATGTACGTTATCTACGTAAACTTAAGAAGATTTAACACATCCACGGCTAACAGAAAGACAGTAGATATTTTTATGTCAAGGTCACAACCCAATCTTAATTTGTCAGTCCAAGAAGAGGCGAATTTCACATTAGAGTTTTTTCCTTCAAGTAGTTTTAAATAAAAGCTTTTGAATAGGAAATTTGTTTTTTATTAATTTGAAATTAAATAAGAATATTTTTTTATACAGATTCTTTAACATTTTTATTGATTTTTTTTTTTAGGTTTTTTTTTTATTTTTATTTTTCTTAAATACAGAGAAATTAAAACAATAATATTTTTTTTAATTTATAATTTTTATTTTTTTTTTTCATCTTCTCTTTTTTATTAAAATTTCAATAAAAAGAAAAGCAATTCTTTATGGTTATTTAAAAAAAAATTGAATTTGTTTTTATTTTACACAATTCTTTTTTTTAATTTTTGTAGATTTTAAAGGTTTATTTGAAATGCTTAAAAATCAAAAATTACTAAAAATTAAATAGATTCTAAGTAATAATTAATTGGTAATTATTTTGTGTGTTTAAGAAATCATAAGAAAGGAAAAAGGAAAGGGTGAAGGGGAGGGACTGAGGAAAAGTGTGGGAACATATATAATAGCCTTAAAAGGAATTTTCTTATAATAGCTACTTATTTATTATTAATTATTATTTTTAATTTTTTAATTTTTTATTTTTAAACTTCTTGTTTTTTTTCATTCTTAATTTTTAATTTAAATGTTTTATTTAGTTTTATACTTTTTACAGAGATAATTATTGCATTTTTTATTTTTTTTTTTTAATTTATTTATTATTTTTTTCCTATTTATACATTATGCCTCTATAAAAAAATAATTATTTGATGAAATTTCTTAACAATTGAAAATTATTTATTTTTTAAGAAATTTTTATATAGAAAATATATTTAAATTTTATTCCTTATATTATAATATAAGTAACAGTATAATTTAAGATTAAAAATATAAAATAGAACAAATTTTTCAATTTAAATATAATTACAATTAATTAATTTTTTTTATTAATTTAAAATTATTTAGAAATTTCATTTTAGATTATGGATTAAACAATAGGGAAATAATAAAAAAAATAATAAATAATATTATTATTTTTTTTTAATAATTTTGAGTCCATATTGTAGCAATATGGGTTTTTAAATCCCACTCAGCTTAGACATGAATTGTTAAATTCAAATTAAATATAAGGGTGTCTACCAAAAACGTTAATTTGACTTATTCGGCAATTTAAATTTTATATTGCTGAATAAATCAGATTGACGTTAGTTGCGCTTTTTGGTAAGTCTCCTAATCTAAGCTTCAGAATTAAGTTTAAAAGAGTGTGTATTACTGGATCATGGAACTCATTATTATTATAATTTATGAATCAAAATTCAAATGAAAAAGAAAATATGTATACAAAATAGTCAGAACTTGAACAAAAATTATCGGGTTTTAATCATATCGACAATAAGTTTAATATTGGAAAATCCACTAAATGAATATTATAAAAAATGTTAACATCAAATTCATAGAGCTCCACTAACCGTTATTCAATCTTACAGTACAGAAACACTTCAAAAAATTATGCGCTAATATTATTTGAATTATATGTCTCGAAAGTGACCTAAATTAATGTTTAATTTACTTTCAAAATAGATAAAACTATTATTGTTAACATGTAGGCCTTTTCATAAACGCAGTATATCGCAATATATAACGAGAACTGCACTATATTTGTTTTCAAACAAACCTAATTTATATACCCACTACCCTAATTTATTCAAAAACATGGGTAACATTTCGCAAACTACTATGAGTAAGTGCAGTTAAATCATATGAACTGTTTTGATTTTATGGAATAATTAGATATATATTGAAAATTTTTACACTTTATGTTTTTGTAGTACTGCATTTAGGAAAATCTCTGTGTCTAATTATAGTGATATAAAACTTTTAAGTAATAAAACAATCTAGCTTATTATTTAAGTTCATTTAAGTTAATTTCATTCATATTCATACTGAAATATTTCAAAGACTGCATATATTTAAAATGAGGTAAAAAATAAAATTAAGAGAACCTTTATCATAATATTCGAAATTTTATTTTTTGATAGCGTGGCATTGACCGTTAGCTTCGTGCCGTTATAGAAATTTAGAAAATCTTGCGTTTCAAAAATATAAGGTGTCAAGTTTAAATTTTCCAAATTTCAAGGGGCGATAATTTGAGAATGGGTGGAGATGGAAAAAAATTTTCTTCAAACGAAATAAACAAGAATAGCTAAAAGCTACTAAAATTAAAAGCAGCTCAGATTTTAAACTCCTACAACTTTCAGTATAGGAGAAAAGCAATACCACTTATTTGAAAAAAACCAGTTTTAGAGAACGGTTAATTTTAGCACTCATTTTGCTTTTTTAATATTTAATTATGCTTTACCGCGGTAGAAGAAGCCCGATACTACTTTTCTGCTTTAACGAAATTTGAAAAATATTTATCAAATAAATAGTTCGTTTTGTATTCCGTATGTAATGTAATCGTCTTCCGTATACACTATATGCATAATGCTTACACGTAAATTAATATAGCTGTTTAATTTTAAATTTCAATGTTATATTAGAGTTTTATTTTTAAAGCACAATATGCTCTTTCATATGTTTATCAAAATAAATACCCTGACTTCATCATGTTACAATTAGTTATTATTAAAAAACAATTTTAGCTAGTTATGAAAGCAGATAATGATTCGAAAGAAAGCCTGAAATAATATAACTTCGTATTCTATATTAAAATTAATAGAAATCTAATATTAACTTTTGAAATTATTGAAAACTTTTCGAATTTAAAGCTTTTTAATAATGCCAAATTATTATTTCATAAATTTATAGAGTATGAGTCGAAAAACTTATTGGACCAATATTCTGTTAGACGCATCAAGATTTTCATTTTGAATATAAAACTTCATTTTTCTAAATTTATTATATCCAATCCACCTAAATGACACGTTTAAGAAAATATGGGTAACAACTAATAATCATAAATTTAATGGTTATTTAAATCATCCTGTTTACGTGTGTGTGCATAGAGCATTATGTACAACACTTTTATACTTCTCACACTGTTTCTTACAAGAAGGCAAAGTGTAAGAAGTATAATAATATAATAGAAGTGAAGAATTGAAGTGCGTACGCTCAATGCATGCACATAACGTAAAAAGGATCAATGGGTATAAAAATATTTTTGCTTTTTCTAAATATGAAAGTTAACAATTTCAAGTTTCAATTAGTTTTCTCTTTTTTAAAATAATTAAATGTATTTTTCTTGTTACTTAAAGTTTTAAATCCAAGTACTTTTTTAAATAATTACAATTTTGTTCTAAATTCTCTTTATACATTCATATATATTAATATTTGTTGAAACTCAAATTTTATACAAAATAAAGTATCGAAATTCAATGAAACTAAAGTTTTTTTTACAATAAAATTAAAAACCTAAAGAACATGTGCAATTTTAAGTTTTGCAATTAATTGTAAATTGATTGCCCCCGGTATAAGACACTTATCTATTATGTCAACTAAAAATTTGTATAATTTGCATGTAGGCATGTTTTTTAATAAATTAATGAAACACAAATTACAAATTAAAGAATTGCAAAACTAAAAATTGAATATCTGATTTCAAGCCCTAAGTATTTTAAATTTTTAATTTACAAGAGAATCAATAAATTGACTTTACTTTGACACAAATGGCCATAGTAATGTCACTCATTTGGTATTCTCTCCTTTTACATAACTGCTTTTATGAAAAACTCAAAGTTGAATATTAAAGCTTAAACTAAATGTAATGTTATCAATTTGAATATTTTAAAATTTATACATTGTATTTTGATAATTAAAAAAAAAAATGAATATAAATTTTGTCAGTCTAATTTTTGCGTTTCTTTTATTACTTGCTTTACAATACTAAAAATTGTGAAGAACATATATATATGTAAGTACCTAAAAAATAAAATGGCATTACTTTTAAATGCAGTTGCTTTTTCAGTATAATGACTTCCTATTCGGTGCAGTATGTCTTCAAATATTAAAACGAAGATGTAATTTACACTCTGCTTAACTTAAAACTTATACCAACTTAATCCATTAGTTTTTGCATCAGATTCATGAATTATTTCTTGCCTCATTTACAAGAAATTTAATATTTCACTGGCAGTTCACTTACAAATTATATTAATTACTTACATTATAAATAAAAGTCCAGGAGGGAAAAAAATTTATTTATTAATCGTTTTTAATTTTAATTCTTTTTTATTTTCTAAACAAGAACAAACTGACTGGCTATATTGACTGACGATAAAAATTTCAATGTTTTTTTTTTATATTTTCTTCTTAATTCTTTCATGTATTTTTATAAAAATCAGGAAAATATTAAATTTATTCAAGCTATGATTTAAATTTACCGAGAAAAGCATAAGTCTTTGAAAATTAAAATATTTAATTGCGAGTTTATTCAATGAAAATCAAAAGCGAACTCGTGTTTTGTTTTAAGTGTAAAAACCAACATTTAATATATTTTTTTTTTATTTGAAACACAATACAAATTCAAAGTCTTTTGATCCAGCAAGTATGAGAGCTAGTTTCACGTCATGTAAACACAGAATTACGACTAAAATCAGTTTTATTCAATATTAAAGCAAATTTATTCAATTTTAACACTTTTTTCTATTGAAAATTTTAAAAATTACACTTTATATTCAAACTGAGATTTTGAAATATCGATATTTTTCAATATTATTTCTTCTTTATTCCTTTTTTTTAATAATGGTACGAATTTTAATTATCCCAACAATTATTTTAAGTTAAACTAAAAATATTGAAGCAAATATTTTTGCAGTTTTTTAATTAAAAGTTCATTTAGCATAAATAAAATAAATTTTATATTCAATATAAAAATAATAATAACATTTAAATAAAGAAGAAAATGAAGTTGATCTGAAATTTAAAAATTAAATTTTTTTTAATAAAATCAAATTGGACTAAATTTTTTAAAATATATTAAAGAAATCTCACTATTTTAATTTTTCGTATGTATTTGAATAGTTTTTTTAAAAATTGAATTTAAAAATTTTAAAAAAAGAAGATATGAATTTCCCTTTGTTTAATCTTCAAAAAAAAAAAAGGCAATATAGAACATTCTGTACGGATGTTAAAACTTATTTTTCATTAAAATTTCACTTTTTTTTTAAATTAAATTTTTTTTTACTTTTCACTTTTACTTTATTTTTTATAATATTATAGTTTAAACTGCTATTATTTTGTTTTAATCCTTTATTTTAATTCGTATAAGTTTAAATCTTATTTATTTTTTAATATTAGTTACTAGTTTCTTTTTTTCAATTTTAATTCTAAGCTATAAAGAAAATTTGTTTTTTTTTCCTTGTGGTTTTTAATTATATACTTAATGTGCTTTTAAAATTAAAAACCTTTTCTAATTTTCTTTTTTAAAATACAATTGAGTTCCAGAATTTTGTAATACAATAATTAAATTCAAATAAGCTGTAAGACATGAATGCATTAATCACTTAATTGAAATTTAAATAAAATTTGTAATCGATAATGTCGAAATACCGGTCGAGAACAATTGGATCTGACGATCATCAACTTGCAATCAATAATTAATGCTAAAAAAAATATTGCATATCAAGCTTCGTATATAACTTTTGCATGCAACCGGTTAACAACAGCTTTAGCAACAAATTATTTTTGATTTGAACACTTCTTGAACTAAACTTCATTAATTAAGTCTTCAAAATATTTCTCTTCATTCAAAATTTTTTTTTAGAAAAAATTTTAACATTATGACAGGCAATGGTTATTATTAATTAAAAACTAGAACTAAGCTTTTGTTAACTGCATATCTGCAATTAAGATGCAAAAAAAAAATTCAAAATTGTATATTATCGATTACACCTTAAATCTGAGTTCGACATACACCCATATTCTGCTAAGACACATCATTTGTGGTGATAGGATATTATTTAAAACAATGTAAGTTTCCTATTCTGTTCAAGTTTCGAAATAATATTTATTATGAAAATTACAAAATTTGTCATCCAACCATCACCACTAATTTTATCTCACCAAGTGATGTGTCTAACAGAATACAAATGATAATTACTGTAGTTACTGTATAATGGAACTCAAGGTATTTTTATAATTTTTATCTTTTCGTTTAATTTTTATGTTATTATAAACTAAATTTATATATTTCATGTATAAATATATATCTATAAGTATATATATATATATATTTATATAAGTATACTAAAGTTTCTTTTTTTTATTTGGGAATAAAATTATATGCTTTTCGCATTATTTACTCTTAAATTAATTTTTTTTCTCATTATTATTTTTGTTTTGAAATTATTTACTAAAATCTATTAAAACTATACAAAGTTCTATTTAATTATTTTTTTTTAATTTTCTCAATTTATTTTCTGATATTCTATTTTATATATTTTTGCATAAAAAGGTTGCAACGTCGCAACTTTGCATATTTTCAATTTATATTTTTATTTATGTTTAAATATATAAATATATAAGATATAGACCTATTTGCGTATCTCATATACTTATTAAGTTTCTTCCTAATAGTTATATTGATATATTTTATGCTTTTTTAATTTTTTATCAATTTATTTGTTATTTTTAATTTATTATTTTTTAATTTTGGAAATTTTTCTTTATAATACACATAATTTTGTTTCGTGAAATTTATTTTATTCTCTGTCTCTATATTCTTATATATATTGTGTATTTTTTTAGATAAACATATACATATATAAATATATGAATATACGTATTTTTTATAATTAATAAAATTTAAATACCCCATAGTTTATAATATAAATCTCTATTTTATTTATTTATTTATATGTTTTTATTTTTTCCATTAATATTATTATTTTTTTGAATCGATAATAATTTATTTATTTTTTCTCTCTGTTTCCAATGTCTCTTCTTACACATAAAAATTGTACAATAATAATAGTTAATTTTATCAGAAAGAACATTAATATTTATACGAATATATATGTATATATACAAATATGCTTATTTATTATTATTTTATCTATATTTGTAATGTTGTTACTTTTTTTTGATATTTTTATTCAAAAAAGTTTTATATATTTATTTAAAAATGCGCAAAATAAGGATGTAAACTATAAAAGAAAATTACATAAATTTTGATATTATAGCGCATCTACAAAACTGCATTACCAAAAGTCTAGTTGTTCTTTTCAGCAAAACAAATTTAATTACTCAGTAAGTTAAATTGACTTTAGATCTGCAATTTTGTAGACGACCATAGTTACGGAAATTTTTCTCCATTTACTTTCATTATCTAATTCTAAGTAATAGTAATTAAATTTAAATATAATAATAACAAATTTGTTATGATTTAATACATATAACAAATTAAATTTTTATCATATCGAAATTAAGATTTTAAAATTCTTATAATGCACAAAATTAAAAACATCCTTAATTTTCTGCTCAAATCTTTCGAAAATTACATAGGTTTTGCCTATGAAATTTTAAACTTTACACAATAAAGAAATAATGGAGTTTTTTTTTTGTAAAATCATCGAACAAATAGTTTCGAAATTTATAGTAAGAAATTTTAATTATTTAAATAAGTACAATTATTTTCGTCTAAAATCAATTAACAATTATTAGTTATTCATTTATAATCAAATGCCGGCAAATATTTAAAGAGTATTTTTTTTTATTTCTTTCTTTTGAACACTCAAATTTCTCTTTTTACTTAATTTTCAGTTTTTTTTCCATTATAAGTTTTTTTAAAGTCCAAATTACAAAACATCGAATATCCTACACATTTGAGTTCACTTTCTTAATTTAAGTCATATTGAATGATTATTTATTTTCGGTTATGAATTTTTCCCAAAAAAAAGTGGAGGTAGCGCATAATTAAAATTTTATCATCCTTTTTGTATATATATTTATATACTTTGTTATTATATATATTTTTATCCTACTGTTATTTTTTATATATAAAATAAAATATTAATTTTTAATTAAATTAATAATAATTAATAAAAAACCCAGGAAAATAACTTTTCTCTTATAATTTTGGTTGTTCATTTTACAGGAAATTAATAAAAAAAAATATAATTATATGTATGTTTATTATGGTAATTCTATTTTTAGAAAAATCATCGTCTATCTCTATAACTACTACGATGACTATTTCGATCTCGAAAATTTCTATCACGTTCACTTCCACCTCTACTACTACTGCTTCCACCTCCACCTCTATCTCTACCACCGCGACCTTCACGAGTTCTATCGAATATTCTATTACGATACGAGCTATTTCCGCCACCCTTACTATTACTTGTACTTGAATTATTTCCAAGACCCGATGATCTATCATTATTCGAGATACTTGCGGCAGCTTTTCTTATATATTCATCAACTTGTTGCCTACTACCCATACCACCACCGCTAGCACCTTGTCTTTTCTCGAATGGTCCTGGGGGTAATGGTGGCCTAATTGGTGGAGCTGGTGGTGGATAATCTGGTAATGGTGGTGGACCATCATAATACCTTGGCGGTAAAGCTTCATACATTCCAGGTGGTGCACCAGCTGGTAAGGCACCGGGTGGAGCACTACCAGGTGGTAACATTCCAGGAAATCCTGGTAACATACCTGGCATTGGGGGTAATTGACCGTGCATTGTTCTCATATAGTTTTCCACGTAAGCTTCAGCTGCCGCAGCTGATGTTACATAGCGTTCCCATGGTGGTACACGATCTACTCTTGAATACGGTGAACCAGATCGTTTATACGCAGACCCTGACTGCAAACCCATAATTTTTCCCCGACCTAAAGTGAAAGATTTTTTCCCACGAACAGGTCCACCACCACCACTACCACCAACTCCAGAAGAGGGATGATTTCGCCCACCTCTGCTAGATATTGATTGATTACGAGGCGGCGGACCTTTGTGTACTACACGAATTCCTTTTTCTCTCATAATTTTTGCAGTTTCTTTTGATTTTCTTAAAACTGGAGTTAATTCAATACCTTCGTCTTCTGGAAATAGACGACATAATTCCGCACCAACTTTTGGTTCAATTTCCTGGCCATCTCGCCCAATTTTAACAGGTTTACCATCATTCCAAGAGTTATACAAATGTGCTGTACATGTGAATGAAAGCTCTTTACGGCATATCCAATCTAATTCAATTACTCCAGCCAAAGCCTTTGATGACATGCTTGGCGGTAAAACCCACTGAACTTGCGGCAGATCACGCCTTGATTCACCAGCCATTCTAGCAAAACCAGCAAATTTTCCTAAAAATTTTTGAAGATTATTTATCATTATTAAAAAATTATTTAAATGTAGAAATGTAGATTTTTTATAATAAAATTAAAGTTTGTGTTCTGTTTTGGTGTTATTCTGAACGTTTATATATAAGTATCAAATTAAATATTTCAAATTTTTGACTTTTTAAATATTGATCAAATTTTTGTAGAAAACAAACATAATATGAAAATCAAATTTATCACTGGATTTAATCACTGGAAAGCAATAATGGAAAAATCTTTAAATTACATCCTTATTCTTTAAAACCTTATATGTAATTAAATATGAAAAATTTACATTAAATTGCAAAACTCACCACTTTCGTTAACTGAAAATATTAATAATACATTACGGGACTCCTTAAATGCTTGATTCAAATTTGCTTCATTTTGTGGTAATGTTGACCAAACATTCTTACTTTTCGACAAAGCAATATTGTCTGCATTATTTGATTTGATTAAAAAAAATCTAGTATCCCGAAACAAATAATTCAGTTTTGTCATATAATCATAAGATTTTGAATTGTGCTTTGAATTCGCAGTTTTCTTTTTTGATGAATTTGGACTTGAACTTTTTCTACCATTTTTATTTGTTTTCTTTTCATCACCAGAACTTTTACTACTATTTGATTTACCATCACCTCCACCATCGTCATCACTACTGTCACTGTCATCACTACGAGTTTTACTTAATTTACGTTTATTAGTATTTTCATCTTTACTATTATTAACTTTTGTTAATTTTTTATTTAAATTACTGCCAGATTTTGTATCACCACCATTCACAGATCTTTCACGTTTAAGGCGTGCTCGCCGGTCATTATTACCTCGACTACTGCGATTTGACGAATTGCTTTTCTTACTGCTCATCGAACTCATGCTTGGATTTGATGCAGCACTATTTGAACTTGCAGCTGACGCCTCACTTCTTGTATCAAATGAATCTCCGTAATCTTGAAGTTCTGTGGCGATGTCAGCTTCATTTTCATCGAGGCCGAGATTTACTGCATCGAGATCGGCCATTTTCGCTTTTCTGTGAAAGAAAAAAAAAATTGTCAAAATTATTTCAATTGAAAATTTTGTTTACCACTTTAAAGTAAATAAACAATTGCAATTTCATTTACGTGGTGCTTAAATTCTTCATTAATAAAAGCAGTTTGCCTATTTTCTAATTACTTATAATAAAATAATTATATTTTTTGCAAACTTTTTATTTTTTTTACTTGAAAATGTTTTATGTCAGGCATAAATAAAGCGCTGAGAGCTGCCGGTAGTATAATGTCCTAAAAAGCGTTGCCGTTGTTGCAACATATGAAACACAATGGCAATATTATAAATAAAATGACGTACCCTATAAATATAAAAACACATATGTATGTACTGCTTTTTCTCTATAGATCCATAATTTGATTAGAAACTCCACTTCCAGCCAATTTCTAAACGCTCCTTATGTCATACAAGTTTTACTGGCCTGTATTTATGGGCAGAATTTCAATTTAAGTGACATCTTGCGGAGGAAACCCAACAAAATTTAATTCATTTAGTAGTTTAGTACAGTAAAACTTTTGATTATTGTATACTATAACACTAAAGCACATTCACATGTCAATCGAAGATTAACAAACCGAATTGAAATTGATGAGAATTTACATTTACATCGCAATCAATCTTTCTATATGCATCATGCATTTAAAAACTTAAAATAATGCCACTCCACTATTAAATGACAAATTGCAACTAACAAAACATTAAAATAGGTGATCACAGTCCACTTTATTCAAAAACTTATGTTTACGCCATTTTTTGCTTTATTCCTGTCAAAAATGATTGGTGATTTGTCATTTAGTTTGTCAACTTTTAAATGATTCGTCATTTAAAAGTTTGATGAAAATAAGTAATTTATGATGTTTTCATGTTCAATCTTCATCAAGCTCAATCTTTGATAGCCAATCTTTGATTGACATGTAAACGCTGACTAAAACCGTTATCAAATTTAGTGTTGTTATTACACGCTTTGACCGGACTACAATATCAAATATTGCTTGAAAGTTACACATCCACACAAAGTCGAATGTCCTTTTAAGAAGAATCAGAAGAATTAAAATTAAAATTCAATTAATACTTTTGATATTTGTTGTCAAAATTTTGCGCAATAATAGTGAATCATTTTAGCTGTATTTTATTTATGTATTCTTCAAAATTAAAAAGCACTTTTAAATAGTGTATACGTCCTTTAGAAAAGAAACACAATTTTTCTATAAAAGCTACTGACAAATTTGAATTAGACGAAAGACGTAAATACGCACGAACCCACACCGGAGACTATGTAAAAACGTAAACTTCGAGATAAACAAGAGCGATATAATGAAGATAGTATGAAAAAAAATTGACATCATGGTGAAGACGGAAAATATATTAAGTAATTTAACATTTGCTTATATATAGTAACACTTTACAGGACTCAGTGGAATTATAAACGGCATATACGATTTTGCTAGTGTAACAAAAGTATTTGAATATGTCCCAGTTTGGGTTTATTATTATGTATAATAATGTGTACAGCCTAAAAAATTTTTCTTATTTTTATCTTTTTGTTTTACATGTCCTGCATAACATGATTGATTACGTTTCGAAAATTAATGTATTACAATCAGGGTTATTACATTGATACTAATTTTTTGGAGGATACCATACAAAATAGTGCTAATTTTGCCCAATTGTATACAATTTTACATTTTTTGGAAAAAGAAATAGAACTTTCATCAATCATAATTTTCAACCCAGTAATTAAAAAACATATTTTTAAATGTTTTAAAATATATGCATAGTACATAATGTTTTAAAATATACGCATAGTAGTATGAAAAACGCATTAAAATATGAAAATTACATATTTTATTTATATTGATGTGATTTTACACTTAGTAAAAATATGCAATTTAATAACATATATGTATGATAACACGTACTCGTATAAAAAAAGTTCCGAAAATAGTGATAATTGATAAATTATAATATACGAATGAAAAAAAGTTTATTTCAGATACTCATAAAATGAGTGTATTAATAGTTTTAAAATCTCAACTTTTTAAAATGGATCTATTTGTCTTAAATGTACATTATATTCCATATATTATATCGCACCCCTAAAATAATATCGCCACAACTCAAAATGTTGCAAAAACGAGTTAATAGTATAGTAAAATCCGCGCATTCATTAGCTTTATTTTGGTCTATTCAACATTCTTCTATGACAAAAAGTATTCACTGTAGAAAATATTTTATGAAAGAGGGTTTTGTATGGAAATTTCAGCAGAAAATAAAAAACTGCATTATTTAGTCTTGTCCACCTTTAATTCTAAATATTTAATAACTAAGTTTGCTGAATATAGCTTTATTTTGAGTTATAGCAGTGTTATGTTGCTCAATTAGTAAATTATTTGTTCCATTTTCTTTTGTGGCACTTTTATATTCACAATTTTCAAAATTTTGACGTTATACATTGCCATAACAAAAAATGTGGCATTTTAATATTTGGAAATAGTTGTTAAATTTGTATTATTTTTAGTTGTGCCCTTAAATAAATCAATTTTTACATGAATTTGAATTATATTGTCACACAAATACAAACGCATTTCGTTTTGTTTCATTTTATTATAACATTTATTGAATATTATTGTCCATTATTTCATATCAGTGCACTTTATTTCATTGTTTTGTTGTTCTTTTGTTTTGCAAGAATAAACTTGCCGAGAAATATAAGACGTAATAATGTTAATTGATGCGAATTTGCTTAAAAGCAAAATAGAAAAAAAAATATTACATTAGATGTTCTAGTATAGTGCGTGTTTGAAATAGTTTATACCGTTGCACTTTACTTTTATCAATTTTTGTGGTTTTTTTTGCAAGAATGATCCTGTCGAAATAATGTGACGATTTTGAAGCTTTGTTGATTTTATTTAAAAGAAAAAAAAAGAAAATACATAATTATTAGATAAAATATTCATTGTGTCGTGAGTGCTTGGAGTGTTTAGATTACTCAAAATTTAATTAAACAAATAAAAAACTATCAGAGCTATTTTAAAGGTACCAGTATTTTTTTTAAATTTAAAAAAGTTTTTATTTTATTTGCGTTCGTGTAGTACATTATCGTACTAATATATAATAAAAAATGAATAATTGTTCTCGTGGTAAATTGCTGGTCGATTTAGTGAAAAAATATAAGGAAGCAGAAAAAGGTATTTTTGAAAATAATAGTTATAAAGAATAATACTACATGTTTTTATTTTTCTTAAAGTGGAGCAAAATTTAAATGCAATTTCGGAAGAAAATCATAATATTATGCAAGAAGTAGCAGCCTGCACATCATCACAGAATCCAATAATCACAGAATCATCCAGTCAAAATTATGCTGGTGAGGAAATTATTTTTAACTATTTAGTTAATTTCAAAATTTTGTTCCTATTAAATTTTATTAAAATAGTTCTTCTTATTAAAATTATACCTTCTTTTATAGATTTTGACGAAATTTCAAACGATTTTAGCAGTGACGATACTATCAGAGATAAAACATGGCAGCCTGAAGACGATCAAGAAGTCAACTTCACTTTAAACGAAACGAATTTCAGTGCAGAAGAAAACATTGATCCTAACAAAAATAGAGAACACGAGAATGTAAGTGTAATAAGTAGAAATAATGATGGTACTGAGGAAAATAACGAAAATTGTGAGGGCGTTAAAAAATCAAGGAAAAGAAAACGGAATGTGGAAAATTGGAGCCAAAATATAAGAAAAAGCAACAAAAATTCGGGAAAATCGTATACAACAATGAAAGGTAAAATAATACCTGAAAAAAAAGTCAGAATAGCATGTCCAGGCTCTTGCAAATTTAAGTGCAATATGTTGTTTGATGAAACTATGCGTCAAAAAATTTTTGATAATTTTTGGGGATTAAGTGATTTAAGCCTGCAACGAAATTTTATTGCCAAAAATGTTGACAAGGTTGTCACAAAATACCGATATACAAGAGAAGGCTCCAAACGAATTGGACTGAACCACGCCTATAATTTTTACAACTCTGAAGGTGATCGAACTAGAGTCTGTAAAAAATTTTTCATGACGACATTAGATGTTGGTGATAGATTCATAAGAACTGCCATTTTGAAGATCAAAGACAATCTACATTCAATAGATGAAGATCGAAGAGGAAAACATAATAACCACCAAAAAATACCGGAAGATGTTTTAACTTCAATCAAGGACCACATTAATTCGTTTCCACGCATTGAAGCTCATTATATAAGGAAGCAAACGGAAAGGGAATATATTGAAGGAAGTCTAACTATCGCTGAAATGTACAGACTGTACAAAAAAAAGTGCGCTGAGAATAATATTGAACCAGCTAAATTATGTACTTATTCCAAGGTATTTAATGAGTGTTTCAATATAAGCTTCTTCTTACCAAAAAAAGACCAGTGCGCTTTTTGCGCTAAGTACAATAATTGCAGCAACGAAGAAAAATGCTGGACCGATTTATTCACCAATGGAGTGGCGTATAATATTGCAAAATTCGAAAAAAAAAACCCAACATATGAAGTTAATGAACTAAACTATAAAGATTTCTTGGACTTAAAAAAGCTGACCGAGGATTTGGGAAAAAACTTTAACATAAATTCAAGAAAAGAAAAAGTCAAATGGAGCGACATAAAAATTTTAAAAATTCAAAACGAAAATCCTAATATTTTGTATTACAAAACAAATTATGATTCTGATTTTTCAGAAATACATATTGTTGAACAGAAAACAAGAAAATCAACTTCAAATATTCCAACAGAAATGAGCAACGTGTTCTCGGAACCAGTGGGAATATCTGCCCAAAAAAAAAAAGACCTGACTGATTTGTGCGATAAATTATTAATTCCTGAAAATCACCACTATTTTTATAAAAATTTAAAAATATCAACACAAAGTGTTGAAGAACACAAATAAGTTATTTTAAAAATAAGTAACTATTAAAGATTTTGTTAAGTTTGAGCACCATTTTAGTTTGTTTTTCATATTTTTTTTTATTTATGAATGTATAAGTTGCCATACAAAACAAAAAATAAAATATTAAAATACTTTAAAAATATTAAAAATGAAAGTTCAAAAAATGTCAATATAATTAGTATTTTACGGTAGAATGCCAGTTATGTTTAAATTAAAATTTTTTCAAAAAAATTTGAATAGAATTTGAATAAAATTTATTAAAAAAAAAATAAAAACAATATTTTATGTTTTTCAAATGTTGAAACCATACCAAAAAAAACAAAAATTTAGCCACATTTCAAGTTGTTGCATAAGTTTTCAATTTTTAGTTTAGTAAAAAAGGACTTTATTTTCATTTGAAGCAAGCGATGTTAATAAAATAATTCTCCCATTTTAGTAAAAAACGGACTTATTTCAAGAAAATGCATGTATACCGATTTGGCATGTAGTAAAATAGTTCACAATTTCGTTTTGTTGCGCTTATATAATTTTTTTCTTGGTAGAATACCGCAATATTTGATTTTAAAGCACGAATTTTATTTCAATTTTTAATATAATAGCGCAATATTTTGTGTAGTGGCATCAAAATTCTATATTTTTTTGTAAAATAACACCTTAAACAAAATTACTACAAAAGAAAAAATTAACTACTTGTGAAATACAGCCATAGCTTAAAAAGTGGCTGTTTTCAGTTTCCATACAAAATTTTGCAAATTTTGAATCTTAAATATCTCGAAACTTCAAATTTTGGAATGTGGCGATATTATATTAGGGGTGCGATATACGTATACTGTGGTTTGATACATTTTGATTTTTTGTCAAAAAATACCAATTTTCTCCCAACAAGTGGGAACACTAATTACAATGCAAATAGAAAAATAAAAAAAATTAACGTAACCATGTAATTTCGAAAATTTAATGTCATTTTCATGTCATTTCTCTTTTATATTTGTATGCGTGCTTATTATATTTAATTTATTATATATGTGTATATTTTAATTCTCCTGCTAAAAACAACTTATCTGTACCACACAAAGTGTAGCAGAAAAGCAATAATAGAAATAAATATATAAATTCGTACATGCACACATAATTAAAAACTAAAATATAATAATTTATAAATGCGGTATTGTAATTTGTGGTATATTTATTCTTATGTAGTTATGTACCTTTTGTGTACCTTTTTGTGTACCTTTTAACTATTCAGTACTAATTACTAATCTGAAATACTACAATACAACAATCATTATTAAAAAAATGCATATACATATATCATTTTCTTTGTATCACTATCAGCACAGCGACAGCAGCAGTCTCGGCTACACACAATTCACAACACAACAAACTTGGAATAATTACTATTATGTACATATATTATAACAAACATAAAGAACAAACAAAAATAAAGTATCTAAAAAACGAATTAAGAAACAAAAGCTAAATAAGCAAAATAAATGAAAAAAAAAAATTAAAGCCGCTAAAATTTTGTACACACATTTACACATTACCATTCACCACTACTATTGTTTTTCGAATTTCGATATTTTTTATATAGGGAAAGAAACGGCACAGCGGATAGCATAGCAGACCAGTTTCTTCTGTTTCTGTGTTAATCGTTTCGTTTATTTGGTTTTTATTTTAGTTTATTTGCAGAATCGAAAGAAGTCAGCTCGTTTAATTTTTCGAAAATAAAGAAATAGAAAAAAAATAAAATTGAGAGAAAAGAAAACAAAAAAAAAATATGAAATATTTAATAAAAATTTATTGAAAAATTTTTTTTACGGAGTGTCTTTTCTATTATATTTTTAAAATTTATAATTAATACCTAATAGATTAAAAAAATTAAATTCATAAATAATCAAAAACTTGTAATTTAATTATTTAAAAAGTTTATAATATTTGGTAAATAAACATAAAAATAAATATTTCTTCTTTTTCGTGTAAATTTATTGCATTAAATTTTAAAACAAAAATTTTAAGTATAGAAAAATTAAAAAAATAAAAATAAAATTAACTTGCAAATGCACGTACATACCTACATGAGTCGCATACACTCAGTTCGTCCGGGTGCGGCACAACCAAAATGCACAAATATGTACAATTTGCTTTGGGAAAATGCCTCTCACGGCACTAATGTGCACATTCCAAGAGTAACGACCTCCAAAAATAAGGCCATTTTCATACAAAAAATAAAGCAACACTCACGACCTTTTGACAAAATAAGTCCTTAAATTAAGCTTTAAAATATTTGCAATCATACATACAACATAAGAAATTCGTTTATGATTGTAACTATAATTGCAAATATTTTAAAGCTTAATTTAAAAACTTATTTTCTTAAAAGGTCATGAGTGTTGCTTTATTTTTTGTATGAAAATGGCATTATTTTGACTCTTTTGAAAGAGGTCGTTACTCTTAGATTATGCACATTAGTGCCGTGAGAGGCATTTTTCCAAAGCAAATTGTACATTTTTGTGTATTTTGGTTGTGCCGCAACCGGACGAACTGTATGTGAATCATGTGAATCCTTTTTCATTGGATGCTTTGAATGCCTTGTTTTGAAAGTGATCAAAGTAAATTTGATCACTTTCAAAATAATAATATTGCGAGCTGAAATTGATACATATTGTTGGATAGGGAAATTAAGCGATTAACCAGTTAATCGAATTTTTGGTTAGCTAACTAGGTACCTATTTTAAATCGAAACGGAGTAATATTTCATTTTCATTTGAAATAGACCTAGACCCTAGATCATTTTCAAAATAAATCACCACTATCCAATTGATAATGATTAATTTCTGATCATTCCAATTAAAGATTTTGGAAACTTGATAACTGATTTGAAATTATTTAATAAAAATAACAAAAAAATTAATAATACTAAATTTGTAACCTACTAAAAATTAATAATAATTAATGAAATAAATTTTGTGTTTTTTATTAAATTATAATTTGTGTTTTTTAATATCGCCCACATACATACATGATTACATATATAAAATGTTTTATAATTTCTAAAAAATTTTTTGTAGTTTTTTTATTTGTAAAATAATTTAAATTATATCAATAAATTGGTATATGTGTATTATTTATAATAATAATTAATAAAATATTAAAATTGAATAAAATTTATAAATCAGTGCAGTTCAAATAAGATTAAGTAATAAGTATTAAAAATTAATACTTACTTAAAAGTGCATAATTTTTCTTCATTGAAAACAGAGGATAACAAGAAGAGAAATTTTCAAATTTTTGGAATATTTTATCTTAAGCAGCAAGAAAGGAAATAAGTAGGTACCTGCCTACATAACTAACTACCTACCTACATAAAAGTAAATATTCGCTTTTATTAAATTTTTTTAAACAAATCTTTAGATAATAATTTTCATAATATAAATAAATAAATATTTAGTAAATTGTTACTTACTTTTTCTGTTTTGAAAAATTGTACGTAAGTGCAATTTTTGAATTTTGTGTGATTTGAATACTTGTAAGTTATTTGTTTTAAAATTTTTTTACTAAATAATTAAATAGCAAGAATTGAATAAGTAAAAACCTGGCAATAATGTCCTATGAAAATTTAACGAAATTTCACTAATATAAGCAGAAAAGAAATTTTCAAAAAGGTATTAACTTCGGGATTTCAAATTAATTTATTCAATTTAGAAATTATAGAAATTTTCACAGTTCGAGATTGTAACTAATTTTTGTTGCAACAATTTATATTAAGTAGCGTATATTAAGTATAAACGTAGCAAAAATTTAGACCACCGAACTATATGATCTTTTTTTATTGATCAAACTTTTAAATTTCAATTTTAAAATTGTGATTTTGAATATTTTATTAGCTTTTACATTAGTACACATAGTTAATAAGTCCTTTTTATTAGTAATTCTTACTTACATACTAATTGGAATTTTATAAGTAAATATTAATTTATATTTACTTACATACTTACTTATTTATTTTTTTTTTATGTTTAGTTAAAACATTTTTACGGAATTATAGAATAGAATATGCGCATTAGCAAATTCCTTTAATATACTTAATTAATGACTTAAAATTATACAACAAAAATATTTTTACTACTTAAACACTGTGGAAAACCATGAAACAATGGTAAAAATAAAGAAAACATTACTTAAATATCCGTAAATAAAAGCTATTTTATCAAGTCTTTGTTAAGTCTTTGATAGGTCAAACCTGTGTTTAAAGTTATTTATTGCATAAATTCAGGATCGTACTGACAGTTCCATATGTCCTATAATCGAATTCCCTCAATTAAAGGGAACTGTGAAAAGATTAGGCGTCAAATCTTTTACTAAGTATTGGTAAGAAAATTAATTTAAGCCTGTGTTCATAAAGTAGAAAAATGGGGTCTTCTTTCCAAAGAAGAAGACATAGTGTAAAATTACAAAAAAAATAATTTGAATAGACTTAATTCTGTTAATATGGACATTGCAGTAGGGTGACCATGACTGTTAATCGCATTTAAGATGAGAACGAGAAAGGCACGAGTGGAAAACATAGTATAGCTCGGAGAACCCTAAAAATTTAAAATGGTTTTAAAAAGTTTTCCTTAAAGCGAGATTTCTATTGTGTGAGTACGAGTATACAAGGCAATTCAGAAAATTATACAACATACACCATTGGTTAGAGCATCGAAGATGGGTGAAACATTTGTTCCGGACTGGGTGCCAAATCTCGAGAGTTTCCGAGATCCAGGAATTTTAACGAATTTTCACAAAATTTTTACTTATCCAAGTTTTTTTGATTATACACAGATTTTTTCAGTTTTTTCTAACTAGCTAATTTCGTAATGAAAATTTTTAAAATCTTGAAAATTTTTTATAGAATTTTGTCCAGCCGTTTAAGCTTTAATTTAAGTCGTCAAGCATTAAAAAATTTTATTATGGCACAGAAGATATAGGACAAAAACCACAAATATTGTAAGCCAAAAATTTAATAAAAATTAAAGCAGATGTTGATAAAACTAAAATTAAATTCAATTTAATATTCCTTTATTCAAAAATTTCGTAAATTTCTCAATAAACACCAAATTTTCCTATGAAATTCATTTATTTCGGAAAAAATTTATGTTTTCTCTACCGGCACCCAATCCGGAACCAATGTTTTACCCATTTAAGATCCTCTAACCAATGGAATATGTTGTTGTAAATCCTTCAGAATCAATCTGTATATAAAAGCACTTATCTATATGGGCATTTTTTTTTGTTGTTGAAAAATAATGTGAATACTTAAGTAAAAACAAGTTTCGCTATTTCACAAGGTTGATATTTAAAGGCATCAATTGCGTGTAGGTGCTATGGTCTATCCCAACGACTTATTTAAAGTAAATCATTAATATTATATTTTATTGTTTTTACCTACTGCATAATTATTAATTAGCACATTAATTGACTTATGCTCTCACACCAATAATTAAAAAATGGAAAACTTTTCCAACTTTAAGTTGTAAATGTATATATTACAATATCACAAAAAAAAAACTCAAAAATAAACTCATAAAATCCAAAGCGGTAACACTTTTCTTAATTTTTAGACAAGAAAGTCTCTCTTCGAAATTTGACGTTTTCTTTTTCATATTTTTCTTTTTATTCTTCTTCTTTTCATTCATTTATTGTTTTTCACAGCCAAAAAAAAAAATAAAACAAATGAAATTTCTCTATTTTACTTGTTTGTATACCAACTTATTTACATTTATTTATCTACTTGCTTTCTTCCTTCCTCCAAAATATATATGCATACATATATATACATACATATATATTTACTACGGCGAACAAACTATTATACATTTTTCACTATACTAAGTCAGCTCCCTCATTTTTGCCTATTTTTGTGTTTGTAAACTTTTTTTTTTATTTGTTAATATTTTGCTCCTTTTGCAGCTATTTTAGTATCAGTGTACATTTTTTACAAGAAACAAGAGTTCGTTTGGTAGAAAAAATTAAATTAAAAAATTTTGGAAAAAATTTAAAAAAAAAAGTGAAAATTTTAAATTAAATTTTAATTATTTTGTTCTTTAATATAATTTTTATTTAAATTATAATTGAGAAAAGAGGAAAATTTTTTACATATTTTTGTATTTTATAAAAAAAAAAAATTTAGAGAAATTTTGTTGCTGTACCGTACCTACTGCATTTACGCTGTAGTCGCATATTTTAAAAATCATCTCGAAAATTCATAAAAAATATATTAATTTTTTAAATTTTTTACTGTGTGGATGTGCAAATGTGCTTAAAGAATCAAAATTTATTAAATTTTAATTATTTAATATAATTAAATAAACATGAAAACATTAATTTCCACAATTGAAATTAATTGAAAACATCATATGATTATTAAAAGTGAATACATAAAATTTCAACTCAAATACTTAAGTATTTGTAAAAAAAAAATTGTTAAAAAATTTGTAAATGAAGTGTTTTTTTTTTTAAATTGCTAAAAAAAAATTAAATTCCAATTGGATTTTACACCGCAAATACTTGTACAAGTGAAATTGGTAGGTAACTTTTTCGAATTTTTTCCTTTCTTGTTTTTGGATGAGATATCAAAGGATTTTTGTTTTTTATATTCGTACAACGTAGGTATGCTCATGTATGTATGTATTTTTTCTCTATAAAAGATAAGTAAATAATAATTTAATGGTAGGTTGGGTTGAAATCTTAAAAAAATATTTCAATAAATCTTTACTAAAGCACTGAAATTTTCATTAGAATTTTCTAAAATATGAAAAGGATTTTTCTTTTTATAAGTATTCCTTAAATTTTATTCAATATTTGTAGAAATTATTAAATTTACAATTTTTTTTTATTTGGATTAAATTCAGATTTTTCTTAAATGGATACTCTGTTTGGTCCTTTTAAAATTTATGTATAGATATCTTTATTTTATATTTGCGTAATATACATACATCTGCTTGCATAAAATCCATGTAAATTTTGAAAAAAAAAAATTCCTTTTTATTTTTTTTCTCTCTCTCTCTTTGACAATAATAATCCCTTTTCAACTTTTAAGAAAACAAAAAGTGACAATAAAACATAAAATAAAATAAGAAAAAAATTAAAATTTGAGAAGAAGAAAAAGAAAACATTAAAAAAATTTTCCGGCTGTCTAAGAATTTTTCTTATTGGAAAAAATTTCCCTTTTGGGATTTTAAAAAAATAACAATGCCTATATTCACATATGGATATGTATAATATAATATGTATATGTGTTTATGAAAGCGAATGTTTGTATAAGTGTACAAAAATAATATTATAAAAGTCATAAAAAGGATATTCCGTATTTATATGAGAGAAATTTAAATCGCATGAATGAATGAGAGAATAAGAGAAAAACATTAAATGAATTTAAGTATCAGTTTATGTGTATGTGAGTTATACTTTTACTCCCATGGTCCCATCATAAAATTAACAGTCGTTTGTCATATTAATATACACTAAAGAAAAAAAATTTTTTTTGCGTCTTACATTTGAAATAAATTGTATTATTTTTAAACTATGGTAACACTTGGTAATTAATTTTCTTTTTTGCAATGGATACTACAAAAATATCACATACTTTAGGGGTACTCGATAAAGTCAAATGCCTGTCGACAACAATTGCATGTGACGGTCACCAAACGGAGATCAACAATTTATACAAAAAAACCTTTGCCTAATAAGTTTCGTATACTCATAACGTTTGTTTATAATTTTTGATATGCAACCGGTTAACAACAGATTTAGCAACAAATTACTTATTATTTGACAAAATTTCATTAAATAAAATTATGTTATCCTATTCAAAATTTTTCATTTTGCACAAAAAACAAAAATTTCAGTTGCAATTTTTGTTATTATAAACATTTTACTTACTAATATTGAATTATTAATTATTCAATTGAAATTATTAATTACGCGACATTAATTGTTTTTGGCATTGTTGATCACATACAAAATCTAGACTTAGTACAATACTTAGCCAAATCCTCGATAGTATAACATTTATGATAAATTTTCTTTTATGAGTCAGGAACTTTTTGTTTTTTTATTGTTACATATGCTATTAACTTAAGATTCCATATATTTAGGTAGTTGACAATTGTAAATTTTTAGTGTGAAAAGTTGTTCCCGTTTTTCAACGATATTTATTCATTTCCCGAGATATTCAGTTTAAATACATTCAATTTGCATAGAACAACTATCAAATAATTCAATTAAGTAAATCCTTTTTGCTCTTTGAAAATAGTATTTATTTATTTATTAATTCAAAATATATTCCTTTGAACGTCTTCTACGGAATTATCTAGGTATTTTAATAATTTCATTCCTTTTTAATTGACTGAATTCAAATTATAAATATGTAGTACATATATAACAAAAATTTGCCAAAAGTAGTGAGAAATGATAAAATTTATTAAAAATAAATAAAAATATTTACCAGATTATGTATAGATAAAAATGGTATGATACTTGTTGTGCGAATTTACCTAATTAGATAAAAATTATAAGTACTTCAAACTTAGTTACTTTTATAATTAAAAAAATAATCTCGTAAATTTCAGTAATTGGGTATTCCTGCTTCAGAAATGTCAAAACAATTTAATCATTATTTAATTGGTAAGTGTAGGAACTACTAATCAATGGTTTTATAATAACCACGTACACAATGCTATTATTATTAGTTAGGTTTTTCACGTGTTGAGCATATAATATAAAATTTGCAAGTAAGGAAAAAAAGACAATGCTAAGTATTTAATGTTAAAATGTTTTAATTTAGCGCGAATACAAAATCGCGTTGTCAAACTAGAATGAAAATTCGAAATTTTCTTAAATGCTTCATTATAGGAAGAAGATACGATTCTGTTACAAATTCCCAAAAAGACCCAAAACGATAAAAATTGTAAATATATTTTTAATACTGGAATATCAATAATTACTTAATATTAAATTTTAATTAACATAACATTATCGAAACCTCATAATTGCAAACTAAGAACTATTACATTTTTCTTCTCTCGCGAGTCTCATTAATAATAAGATTTTTATACTGTTTTGCTTGAGTATTGATTTACTTTAAGTATAACTGTTTTGATAATATTTTGAACTTGTACTTTTTGTATTATTTCTATGTATTTGACACTTGTACGTTTTACGAGTTACATTTTCATTGAGAAGTTATTTGACGTAAAGATTGTTTTGAGTAATATCTATGGTACTAATTACAAAGATTACTACTGTAGAGTCATTAGATTTGAGACTAGTATTTTAATAGTAATAAAAATATTTTGTACATAATTCATTTATTATATACATTATAAGTGCGACTTCACAATTAATTTTGAAATTAATATTAGCAAAAATTTAGAATATTACTCTTAACTTTACGTATATTACTTGTACGTACATGATAAGAATGACGTAAAATTTACTGAAATTATTTTATGTGTGACCAAAAGACCTTATATTCAAATAAGTATGCATTTATTATAATGGCATTATTTTGTGAATAGTTGAAAATTTCAGTTTAATATTGTGATTTAAGGGAATCCTTTATACTTATTTCTAGTCCAAATATTTTTTTGAAGCAAAATATCATTATTAAGTAAGTAGGTTTTCTTTTTCACATTGGTTCTTTTTTACATTGGTATATTTAATGCTTGGAAATCATACCGTAAGCAAACAAAATATTCCGTTTTTCTTTTCTAATCTTTAATAAATATCTCTTCAAATCATTGTAATCTTATAGTTTTGCATTATATGTACATGAAAAACTATATGTACGAATACGTAGCAGATTTTTGAGTTATCAATCATAATCAGAAATTTTAAGCTCAAGGAATTGGCAGAAAAGTCTAAGAGAATTCAAAAGTTTGGGAAAAATATTTTAATATGGTTGTCGAGGTATTTTATATGTATACGCGTCCATATGCATTTACATATGTAAATATATTAAAAATTTCTTTATACTTAATCATTATCAATAGCAATACAAACACCAACGTTCCCACCATCATCATTTTCTTTATTTTATTTCAGATTTTTCCTAAGTTAAAGAAAAAAAAATTACATTTTAATTTTTTTCATTTTTTGTTTCGTGTGTTAGAGGAAAAAGCAAAAATTAAAAAATTTTGCCCTGCGCATGCTCAAAAATGATTTTTTTTCCATTCCAGCATCATCAACTTTTCCAAGAGTTTTTCTCATCTACATCGCTTCAAAATGTATTCTCGTCCTTACGTATCCTTGTTTTTTCTTTTTATTTATTCATTTTGATGATGGTAGTCAGTTGCTTAAAATTCTGTTTTTTTTTCGTACTTTAGCCATCACTTAAAATTTTCTAACTCATACAAAAATTTTTGTACGAGAGTGTATATGAAATGTTATAAGGAAAAAATTTATTTTAAAGAATTTTAAAAAATATTTACGAAAAAATAAATTCCGTATACCTATAAGTATATATACTTATATATTTTATGTATATAAAATATAATCATATATTAAGTATGTGCCTGTAATGTTTAAATATGTTTATATATGCATAAGTATATATAAATATCTACATAATTGGGAATAAAGAAAAAATTTTTAGAACTCTCAGTTTTTTCAAAATGCTCAAATTATAGAAAATTATTTATTCTCACTGATAGTTAATTTGACAGCTAACAATTGTTTCTTTTCAGTAATTTTATATGTCATTTGATTTTTTGTAACAAAACGAAATGTAAGGTTTTGAAAATAATTTAATTTGCAATGGGTTCCTTAATAAATAAAAGGACATAAGTAGTGTATAATGATATCTACGGTTGATTTTAGATCTTTGCCTTATTTTCTGCTATAGCCCATGAGTTCGGTAATGCATGCATTAGCTTTAATTGTAATAAATTGTTTTCATTGTACTCGAATTTTAAATTAGATTTTCTTTTTATCTAAATCTAATTACTGTCGCATTTCTGCGATTGATATTTTGCATATAAAAATATAGATCATACTTTTATTTTTTTTTTTGACAAAATTGGTTTCAAGTCATTATTCTATGTCAAAGTTAATAGTTTTTTATCAAGGTCAATAATGCAGCCCGTCCTCTTTTGTAAAAAAATTAACGTTTGCATAGTGGTTAAAAAAGTTTTGCATTTTTCTATACAGAATGTTATCAGCAACAACTGAGTATTTTGCGATGCCAAAATTTGTCAGAAGTTAATTGTTCCAATTGTTGCATCGAAAAATATTTTTTTGAATAGCTTTCTAAAATTTTTTTTTTGTTGTCGCTTAAAATTAGATTTAAAAATTTAAGTTTAGAATCCAAATTACAATTTACTACTTCTGTTCTAAATTTCAGGTGAATAATGCAAAATTAAAAGGTAACAGTAATGGCACTGTGGAAATTTTTCATACGTGAAAAATTATTCAATTGAGTAAAATTATAAATTTTATGGCAATATCTTGAATTTTTTAAAAAAAGTGTGTGCGAATTTAATTTGAAGTCGAGAAGTTTCTGCAAATACAATCAGAAATTCAAAAT